ATAAAAGAGATGCTGGTGCAGTCCAAACTAAAACACTATTCGGTAATTGGGTCATATCTGGAGCTGTAGATCTCATATTTGGATCTGCTTTATATGGATAGAAAGTTAAGATATAGGCCTAAAACTTTCATAGGAAGGTATGACTCAATTCTACTGTTTGGAAGTCCAAATCTTATCAATAATATAGAAGTTCAAATTTGTCCTGCAACCTAGACACTATTTAGTGTTCAACCCATATCTTAAGTTCTAGAAGTCAAGAGTTGGTCACCCACTCATCAATTAGTCATCAAATCAATAGTTCCCAATTTTTGCCTCTAAAAGGAGGTATTTTTCATGCATTTAGGCATCTTAGTTTTCAGATCAAGATCATGCTTTTTATTTCTTTTCTTATATTTTTGTAATGTTTAAGTTTTATTTCATGTTATATTTTCCTTAATCTCTTGTTTATGTTTTTCATTTTCTTTACTATACTTATGTTCTTATATTGTTTATTTATATTTCTCTTCTTCATTATATTTAGTTAAGTTTATTATGTCAAGGTGAAAAGGTTACACTAAAGGTGTAAGAATAAGTATAGTGTAAATTGAACATGGACATTAATGTTTGATACTAATGTGTTGTGTATTTATTATCTTGTTCACTTTTAATACTTTGTTTGTTAAATGGTTAGTCTAGATTTGTGTTGTATATGTCATGCTCTTTATCAAGGGAGATTAATACTTGGTACAACAAATACTTGACACTTTTATAGCCCAAATGTATGGTGTAACTGACACTTATGCTATGAAAAAAACTTGATTTGTTTTTAATATAAATTATAATCATGAATACCTTACAACATTTACAAGTATTAGCAATATTCAAATAAAATAATTAATGTCATCATATTAACCATTTATAATCATATTAGAACCTCCTTTGTGTGTGGTTTCTAGTTGAGTAATAATAAGAGTTTATACTATACTTGTTTGAAATACTATTAGTGGATCCTCTAACCTTGATATTTATTTTTATTATTTAATCTTCACATTAATCTTACATCTCAAAGTCTTATTCAACTACTTATTATTATTATTATTATTATTTATATAGTTAATTTCCCTGTCGTTCGACCTCGGTCTTGCTAGGTTATTTATTACTTTGACACTCCTACACTTGGGATAAGACATCAATCTTTTGATTATGTCAATAGTCTTCATGAATGTTTTGGGAAATTATCTCAACTTTCCAACAAAAAAAAAATCGATGCATTTGGACTTTTAGAACTCAAGATATTGGTTGAATATTAAACAGTGTCTAAGCTACAAGACAAATTTTGACTTCTCCGTTGTTGCTATAACTTGAACTTGAAAACAATTGTTTTGAATCTTGGACTCTTCATGAAAGTTTTAGGCCTATGTCTTAAATTTCCATCCATATAGAGCAAACCTCAATTCAAGTTCTACAGCTCCAGTTATGATCCAATAATTGAATAGTGTTTTAATTTGGACTGAACCAGCATCTTTTTTCTAAGCTTAACCCTCTCTTTGTCTTCTCAATTTCAGTAGTGAAACTTATCAATCAATCCTTTCATTTATGTGATAGGCCTACATTTAAGATGAATATTTACCATAAATTAAAGTTATCTTATATTATTAGAAATATTATTATAAAACATCATGCTATAGTTAAGGAGTTATTGATACTTCAAGTGCAAAATGATAATATAAAACCTTGATAAAAATACACTTTTAAGTACTAATCATTAATGCAAGTATCTTGAATTATCACAATTAATTCCTTTTGGATCTTCTTGGTTTTAGACCTTGTAATTAGCTCAAGTGACACTTCTAATAGATCCTTTGGTGATGCTTGTTGATTCTTATCATTTTCCCTCTCATCAAAATGATTTGTTCTCAAATTAACAATAAAAATACCATTTATAGGTAATACATTCTCACAATCCTACAACCAAAAAACTAAAACACTATTTTACATAGGATTATTAGTGTAAAAAAATTCTTAACAACACTAGTTTTTGCATAAAAGCTCTCATACTTTGCTCTTATTTCAACCAACTTACCATTTTCTCTCATCCCAAGGTCCTCGATCAAAAAGCCATTTTCTTTCATCTCAAAACTCTCCAACAAACTCTCACATTGTTCCACAAGACCAATTGAAAGATATATTATGTTATGGTCATTGACTAGTTCACCTTCTATATACTTCAAAACTAGTGAACTTTCATTACTATTTTCATCATGTTCATGTAAACATTCCAAATTCATATTGCAATGATTCACTTCATAATAATTATTCTTGTTATCCTTTTCAAGTTTGTTTGTTATTTATTTTTATTATTTAGTAAAAGAACTTCAAATCATCACAACTCTCAAAACTTATCTCTTGTTTTGCATTGCAATCTTCAACTTCATAGACACCATTGTTACTCTCCTCTTGATGTTCATGCTTGATTTCTCTTTTATCCAATATTAAAAGATTTAGGCTTTGGTATGAAATTGTTGTTGTATCAAGTGTTTTCTCTAGACTCTTTCCTATTCTCTTTTCCAATAATTCATGAAAACCTAATAAGTTTTCAACCTTTTCACTCCTAGTTTTAGAATTTAATGTCTTTGAATCACCATCTGTTCATTTTGCATCTTTTTTGGCATTGGTTTGCAACTTTCCATTCATTAAGTAGTTTATTTGTTCTTTTATTAAGTATTGTAAATTGTTCATCCTTGCTTGCCTTGACAAATCTCATAAAAGTTTTTTTATTATCAGTATTCATAGTTTGGATCCTCAAATTCTCTTATCTCTTTGTATTATAAACCTTTTGGAATCGTCTCTCTTGCAAAACTATAAGCATGGTTTCATTATTATCTAGCTGATTCCTTATTTTATTGAATACCACATCCATATGCTTAAATTCTTGTTACATAGCCTATAAAAAGAGAAAGTACTCTTCTCTTTCTTAACTAATGACCCGTTTTCAGAAGACATCATCAAATCTAAAATTTTATATTAGAAACAAGAAATATCCTTACATTCCCTCATATGTTTACACTCAATATATGTCACTTTGCTCATGTTTCACTCAAATTTTTAGCTTTTCACAATAAAAGTCTCACCTATTTATCTTTTACCTCTCTTGCTTGCCACTTCAGTTCTTTAAGGAACCAATCAGAACCAACTAAAAATCTCAATTTGATAACACTCAACCAGTAGAATTCAAAACACACAACAATTAAGAAAATGATAACAAAAATGAAGATGAAATCAAAAACAATTATGAAAACAAAACGAATATGATTACGATTACAAAAACATCAATGAAATTCAAGAATTCACTCTATAAAACCCGAAAACCGGTATAAACTCAAATAATTTGAATTCATTTGCAAACAATTAATTACACACTAAAACAAAAAATATTATGAAACCTGAAATCAATATTTCAACAAACAACACCCAATAATAAAACCAACCAATTCAACAGAATCTATATTACAATTTTCTCAAGTCTTAAACTTAAGAATTGTAAATTTCAATTTTGCATCACTAACAAAAACTTGTGATTTCAACTTTACTTCTTTTTTTAAATATATTGATTTGGTAGTAGGAAAACTTAACTGAAACTTTTGGTTTTTTATATTAACTACAACAATTCAATAATTGAGAAACAACAAGCAAACAATGCAAAAAAAAATTAGATAAATAGATAAAACCTGATTTTAGAATCATCCTCTATTACCAATTGATGTGAACCTGGAGGATAAAAACCATAAAATCCACAAACATGAAAGAATACAACTCAAGAAAGTTAAAATTAGATTGATGAAAAACTTAACCCAATGATTACTTGAACTAAGGAAATTATTGGATAAAATACCTCAACTCATTGATTATAAAGAATTAAGAACTAAAAGTATAAGAAAGAACACCACAAAAACAATTAATCTTTAATAAGTCATGAATAATTCAATGAAGAACCAAGAGAATGAGCAACCTTAACACACAAAATATTATTTATGAATAATAAGCAATCTAAAAAAAAATCTTAAATACAAGTTAAATAACCCTATTTATACTACATAAAACATCTTAAACAAAATTAAAAAAATAACAAAAGAGTTCTAAATAAAATAAAAAAATAATCATAAACCAACTAGGAAATTAAATGTAATTTTTGCAAGGCCTTTCCAAACCTGATTGCGATGAAATTTTAACCATATAAAAAATAAGACATAAAATTTTTTAGTAAAATTTCAATTCAATCCAACATTCGGATTAAAATTTATACTTATTAGTGTAAAAATATATATTAAAAAAATAAGCTTAAATTAACTTTCCTTGTCCAATCCGCAAGTAAAATTCGAAATTATTTGCAAAACAATAATCCCAAGCTTCCGATTTTTTTTCCTTCTAAAAAATAAGGTTTTCAATTTTGCCAAAGTTGCCGACTCTAATGTTGCCAAAGTTGTTGCTGCATAAAAAATTCTTGTAAAAGAATGATTTTTGTCTAATTGGTATTCTTGAAAAGTAACCTAGTGGTATATTGTCTTGTAAAAATCCAAGATAATCCTTTTTTGATAGTTTTTTTTTTTTTTACTTTCTTATTTGTTAATAAATTTTAAACATAACTTAAAAAATATCACTCTCTTACATGAATAAATTATTAGGCTTATTATATATGGATAAAAAACTTGAAATATTTAATTTTCATTCCAACTAGAATGACAACAAAATTCTATCTATATCTTAAATTACAATCCAAACAAATACACAAAAATCCAGTCTAATAAATTTATAATTTTTTAACCTAAATATCTTGAATGAACCTGACCCAATTGATTACTCTTAGATGTTGTTAGTTTTAAACCTTATAATTAGTCTAATTAATACTTTGATAATACCCACATATTCTTCTCTTGTTGGTTTTAAACCTTGTAATTAGTCTAATTGATGCCTCCAATGAGAAGTTTTCAGTACTGGTTTGAGGTAGTCCAAGCTTCACAAAATTAAAAGTAAACACCGAATCTTTTCATAACCCTGGAATTCTATTCAGCTAATAAAGAAATTCGTACAAATTCAAACTCAAATTTGAAAGATAATACTGTAATAACTTTGAATTTAAATAAGACTATATCTTGCTAAGGTGTGCATTGCAAGTGCTTTGATGAAATCCAGCAATCCATTCGTATTCATCGCCCAATATATATATCCTAGCTTTTCCGGCCCTAACACCTTCCAGAGCCTTCCACTGTATCTGAAAAGAAATTTTTTTTTTCATCTTCTCCCTGGCTAAGATCGTTACACAAGAGAATTGAAACAAAGTATGAATCCTTTCAAATATAATTGGTTTTTATTCATTAGTACTGACGCACTAATTAAGAAAAGTCACTGGCTTTCCCAATCTTTATGTTCTGCTCCACCAAGAAAGTTGTGACGACATTCCTCTGCCAGCTCTTAAAACTCCTGCATTCACCAATAAAATCGATAGCATTAGGAAGATACAGTTTTTAGAAAAGAAGAAAATAAGCATATCACAAAGCGTCAGATGCAAGTAGCTCATTGTGCTTTGAGGGGAAAAATATGAATTTTACTTGAAATCCAACATATTCAGATTTCCACAAAGATTAACAACATATACAACACTTGTCAACTTCATTTTATTTAAAATTAAACAAATGCAGACTTAGTGTTTTTCAAAACTGTCAAACAAGGCCTTGCCTCTTGACAAACTCTTTTTCAGTCATTTCTAGATTAACATTGTGTTCACACGCAAACTGCAGGTCTGCATACTCTATAGATCACAATGATCAAAGCAATTAAGGTAAAAGTGGTTTCCGGAGGATATGACACTAATCACAAATGAAAATTCGTTCATGGAATGACAAACTTGTGATCAAGATGTGCTAGAATTTCTCCCCCAGGGAAAGCTGATTTAGTAGCCTCAAATGCAACTTTGATTGCTTCTTTCCAAGTCCCGTGCACAGCCTCGGTATTTAGTTGTGTTTTTGATTGACCAGGATCTTCCATCGGCAAGGAGTATCCAGAAAGCAAATGGCCTACCCAAACACCATCTTTTCTGAAAATGGAACATTAAAATAAAAAAATAAAATTTGTCATCTTGATAAACAGCCATCCATTTCCATTAAAAAAAACAATACCCTCAATTCAGGAGCATAATTACTGTGATGATGTAAGGTACAAAATAATTACTCGGTGCATAGATAGACAGAAAAAAGATGCCAAAATGGAAACTTACAGAACAATTTCCGTGTGCCGGGGCGCATAATGCCCACCACCTATTCCAAGAAGGATTTTGTTGCTACCACCATTCCTGAATCGATAGACATATCAATTTTGCAAATGAAAGTGTAAATTTGAAGGGTTTTGGGACATAAGAACTGCTCTATTTCCCCCTTCATCTATCTATCTTTTGGTATAAAGTTTTTTTCTTTTACCCTTTCCCTTTCCAAACCAAGAAAGGGTCATCACATGAAGAAATGGTAAGCAAGCATCAAACACTAGCATTCACTCACTGTAATATAACATGGAAATCATTCATGACACATGCAGAAAAACCTTAGGGAAACCAGAAAAGTATTCCCAGATTATTCATGCCTAACAATCAGGAGTACCAGGAGTAAAACAAATTGCCTTTGATTTAAAAAAAATGGAAAGTCATCTACCCACTCCATATCTTTTTGCTTAAGAAAAATAAGTTGCAATTCATTACTTTAAAACCATGGAATTATCTATTCATTCCATATCTTACTGCTTGAGAATAATGAGTTATGTACCTGCCCCAGTCTCCCTCAGCAATTCCTCCTCCAAGACCCAATCCTTCCCAGACTAACTTCAAGCACCAAACAAATTATATCACTAAACTGGGTAAAAATCTTCATTATCACTTCAAAACTCAAACATAACACTAGTCATGCTGCTTTATAGCTCATTCATAGGCAAATGAAAGAGAGAACTGGATTGTGATACTATGAATGATTCGAAGTTAAAACTTTCCAATCAAATGCAAACAAGTGAACTCAGCAGGTAAATAATGTCTAGAAAGCATGCAATTTAACTATAACAAGGCCACTGCATATAAAATATAGCTTATTCTGACCAACAAACACCCACCAATGCAATGGCCTGTGCAGCATCTTGCCTCCTCCAGTATTCTTCTGTGCTACCTAGTGAAAATGGAAAAGGAAATCAACAATTAACTAAACCAGGAAAAATCTACAACGCAAAAGGTCAATGGATTGTAAAACCAAAAATAACAAACCCATAATGAATAAAGCCGACCTAATCAGTGGTAGAAGCTTACCAATCTCCACAAACATGGTTGGCGAATTAGTTAATGGCCCATGATGTGTGGCTTCTAATGTAACCTAAAACATGATAGAAGAATTGAAAAAAGTCAGTATGTTTCAACTCTTTTGGTGAAAGGGGGAAGAAAGGGAAACGCAAAGCCACAATAAAGAGATATTTTTGTACCCACTCATACTAATACTCATGATTATGATTAAACTAGAGCATAAACTAGTTAATGAAAAAGAATTAATCAATAAGTGCAGTTTGACACTAAACTAAATGCAACAATTATCAGAAAGTTCCTCTAGGCTACGGTTGAATCTCTTCCCATTGAGTCATCTTGGGCTTCCTTTAGATGTGCATTCCAAGGCAATTTCAGTGCAAGATTATATTATTTAGCTTCAGTAAAGAAGCAGGAGCATGTGGAAGAGGCAGTATCCCTGGAGGTGTAGAAAATTACTTGCATTACGAGCTCGCAACCATGTTTGCCTACATTTTTTTTCTTCATTTCCCATTCCAGATTCAGCTGTTCAGGAATCGGAAAAGCTTCAAAGGGATTTCTTGAGGAAGGGAATGGAAGAGGAATTTAAGTGCTACTTGGTAAATTGGTGAGAGCAGTGTACTCCTTTTGATAAGGATGCTTGACTGCTCCTGATTGGACAGGCACTCAGTAAAGCATGATAGTTTTTGGAGGAGACTTGTAGTTACCAAAAGCAGGGAAGGTACGGGAAGCTGGTGTTCCAGAGGAGTTGAGAGTTCTCAAGGTGCTAGCTTATGGAACACTATTACAAATGGTTTGGATGTCTATATTAATAGAAACAATAGAATCCTGATCTACTATAATGTTTGGCATGGGCAATCAACCTTTAAAGTGAATTTCCTGATTTCTTCTCCTTAACTTCAAATGAAAAAGCCAACAGCAGCTAGCTATAGTGTGCGGAGGACGGTGATCAATTGGATTTAATATTTAGAAGAGATTAATTACGACATGACTGGAACTTAGATACAATAAATCCTCCACTGGTATTGCTGTATCTAGGGAAGAATATCTGGGCACTGACAGTTAGATGTAAATGAATTTATGATCTAAAGATATCCCAGGAGTCTTTTTAAGAGGTTCAAGAGAGTTGTATTTTGACAGCTAAATATTTGAGGAGAAGATATAAGATTAAAATAAGTTGGAAATTTCTGTGCAGATCTAATTGAGAAGCTATACATCATTTACTTCGAGATTGCCCATAAGCAACTATATTGCACAACTTATTACTATCTCTAGTCCTTAAGGGTTAATTCAGCATAACTCAAATGAAAATCAAGAATCCAAACCTGTTAGGATTATCAAATGAACACAACACACAAATCGCAAACAATCAAATGAAGAATTTCCAATTTATATGTATTATCAACACAACACACGCACCGCGGGATTCTACAATCACGGTTATACACATGTATCTTAACATGAAATGTTAATTAACTCATTACCTCGAATTCAGGAGTTAGTTTATGTGATTCAGCAATAGTCCTCAAGAGCCTCAACCATGGTCCTATCCGAGGATTTGGAAGTGCTGCCCATCCTGGCTTCCCACCAGCAAAAAGAACCTCTCCTTCACCAATATGTGGAGTACCTAAGCCGAGAATGCAAATCCGAACAAGCATTACATTCTTCATTGCATTATTGTTTCCCCTTTGAATCCATAAGGCTAACAAACAAAGAACCAAACAGTAGTACAATAATGAATGTTAATTAATATACCAATTGGATGGACCGTAAGAGATGGCCGACTAGAAGAAGCAGCATGCTTGCTAAGAAAAATGATCTCATCGACTACCTCGCCGGTTGCCTCCTCCCAACGTTTATCTAAGTAATCCTCCTCAACAAGACTGTTATCCAATTTTATTAGCCTCACTTCCTTGTTTACAAAAGTTACGGAATCCTAACAAACACACCATAGAATTCACGTCAGTCAGTCAGTCTCTTGTTTAAACTTTAATTAATCTTGTTGAAAGAAAATAAAGCAAGAAAAGCAGAGGATGAGAATTGCTGACCTGCAAGGAGGGGCCAGTGTGCCAACCGGGCATGGCTAGAAGAGCCGAGGCTGGGCCTATGGATGCTGGATCTGAGGTGGTCGCCACCAACAGGATCACCATTCTCTTTTCTCTTTCCTTTGATAACAGTGTCTTCGCGGCAGAAGAATTCTTTGGAGAACACAGGACAGGGCATCTGGTTTCCGCGTGACTATTTATTGAGTTTTTTCTTTTTCCACTTTTTACGAAGGCAAAGTTCAAATTGAATTCTTAAACCTTATTTTTTATTTTAAAAATGTTTTTTTTTCAAATTAATTTTTTTTATTAATTCAAACTATTTTAATGTAAAAATATTAAAAATAATTTTTTAAAAATAAAAAAATATTATTATTTTAATATTTTTCTAAGTTTTCTTTTTAAATAATTATTGTTATACTCTCCAACATTCTCTAATATTATTGGAAAGAGTCCCTTCTATTTATCACATAAAAATAAAAAATTAATATTAATTTTTTAATATTTATTAAATTTAAAAAATATTGAAATAAAAATATTAAATATCATATAAAAATAAATTAAATTTTATCTTATTTAAATTTGTAAATTTAAATTACTTATTAATTTAATTCAAATTGAATATTATAATTAAATTTGGTTTCAAATAAGAAAAAAGACACTTGTACCAGTTTTTTTTTTTTTCATGAATAGATTATTATTAAAAATAAGTTTTGATTTCAATAAAAAAATTATAAAAATGAGTTAAAATTTTGATTTAATGAAAAATTAAATTTTTTTTATTTTTAATTTATAAAATGTAGCTTATACAATATTTTTCTTTAAAAAAGTTGTTTCAAGTCATTTTTTTATTAAACAAACTTCTAATTTAAAATAATTTAAAATACTTTTTTAATAATTATATATGAAAAATAAATTTTTAGATTATAAATCAAAATTAAATTTCATAATTTAAATATGTAGTTAAAAGTTTATATGCATTTATTATAATAACTCCTAATAATAAACTTTAAAACTTTTTTACCAGTTTCTTCGCGGCAGACGAATTCTTTGGAGACCACAGGACTCGGCACCTGGTTTCCGCGTAACTATTTATTGATTTTTATCTTTTTCCACTTTTTAAAAATGCAAAGTTCAAATTGAATTCTTAAACCTTATTTTTTTATTTTAAAAAATTTTAGATTTTTTATTTTTTATTTTAAATTAATTATTTTATATTTTCAGATTATTTTAATATATTAATATTAAAAATAATTTTAAAAACTATTATTTTATTATATTTCTAAGCAAAAAAAACTTTAAAAAAATAATTTTTACCATACTCTAAAATATCCCTTATATTATTTTAAAGGCTCCCTTCTATTTACTATATGAAAATAAAAAATTAATATTAAAACTTTTTTTAATATTCATTTACTTTAAAACAATATATATTATATAAAAAAGAATTAAATTTTATCTCTTTTATATTTGTAAATTTAAATTATGTATTAATGAAATTCAAATTGAATATTATAATGAAATTTGGTTTCAAATAAGAAAAAAAACATTTGTATAAGTTATTTTGTTTTTCCATGAATGGATTATTGTTAAAAATAACTTTTGATTTCAATAAAAAAAATTATAAAAATGAGTTAAATATTTGATTTAATTAAAAATTAATTTTTTTTACTTTTAATTTTTAAAATATGGCTTATACAATATTTTTCTCTAAAAAAGTTGTTTCAAGTCATTTTTTTATTAAACAAAAGTTGTTTCAAGTCATTTTTTTTATTAAACATACTTCTAATTTAAAATAATTTAAACTAATTTTTTAAGATTATTTATGAAAAATAAAGTTTTAGATTATAAATCAAAGTTAAAAGTCATAATTTAAAAATCATGTTAAAGATACTCTTAATGGTTAATAGTTAGTTAAAAGTTTATAGACATTTATTATAATAACTCCTAATAATAAACTTTAAAAATTTTGTACGATTTTTTATAAGTATGGTTAAAATTAAAACAATATTCTTTATACTATGCAGCCACTCATATCTTTTTCTTAAAGAAAAGGAAAAAAAAAAACAGAGAACTTATTTTTTATATTGTAGGTAAATAATTGTTTTGATTAAAAAACTATCTTATCATTTTTATTTAAAAGTAAATATATTGTAGGTAAATAATTGTTTTGAATAAAAAACTATCTTATCATTTTTATTTAAAAGTAAAATTGAATTGATTATATGATGAAAAAAATTTAATTATATATAAAATTAATAATCTAAAATAATTTTTTTTATTTTGATTGCTTGTATTTAGTATTATCTATAATTGAAAACTCTTAAGACTTTCCAAATTTATTATTTAAAAAAAAACTAACTTGATAAACATTGCATTAAAAATATATGAGTAGTAATTGTAAGAAAAAAAAAATTCTTAATCAACAATATCTTTTAATTTCTTTTTTTCTATTACCTATATTTTGTAATATTTATAATCAAAAGCTCTTAAAAAAAAGCTCGAAATAAAGCTTGATAAAAAGAAAAACATTGAATCTCCTATACTAATATTTGTATTTTTAATATTAAAAAAAATAAAAAAATTCTCCTTAAATTATATTATATTACAATTTGAGTGGATTACTTTTTTCTTAACTAGTTCTTTGTTCAAATTATATATATAAGGTACATGATATTTTATTTAGGCTAAACATAAGTAAATTAGCATTACAGTTTTTACCATCCTTTTATTTTAAAAATTAATTTTTTGAATACATGTGAGCAACTATTAAATTTATAAACATGAATAATAATTTTATGCTACTTTTTTTCTGAGGAATCTTTTATAATATTAGTATAGTTTCTCAATAGATATAAATCATTTTCTATAGAAGAGTCAAAGTTAACATAAAAAAATAACCAAAACTCAATATAATAATCTATGAAGTTTTAAAATAATAATATTATTTATGAATGTTAATTATATGTGCAGTGAATATAAATTAAAATATGTTTGAATAGAAATTTTATAAATCATTTTGTTCAAAGAGTTTTTTCTAATACTCTTTTTTTAATATTATTAGCAATTGTAAAAAGAAATAAAGAAAACTTAATGAATCCTTTCTTCGAAAAGAGTCGAATATAATATAATACAATACCTAAGGAGAACAAATAAAAATATTATGACTTAATTTAATAATTTGATATAATTTTTTTTTTTTAAGTTTCTTGAAGTTTTTGATAGTCAAGATAAGTTACTATATAGATTCAGTTTGAGATATTTATTTTATATTATGTAAGTGTGTTTTATGTATGAATAGGTATATAATGAAAAAACAAGATAAAACTTTTTTCAATAAACTATATTAATGTTTTAATTTTTTTTAATTAGAATTTATATATTGGTATTTGCATTATTTTATAGTATTGCGTGTGTATTGTTATTTTTTTATATAAAGTATAATAGCCTTTATGCCCATGTTCCACCACAAAGCTGAACTATATTTTTAGACAAAAAATATTATTTAAGTACTGTAAATAGGTAAAATAAATATATAAAACATTATTTATGAAAAACATGTAAAAACTCTAATTAAAATTAAGTCAACACGTGATATTTTGTCAAACTCATTATTCAAATTATGTTACTGAAATAAATTGATTGAAAAATTATTATAAAGCTTTTTTAAAAAAATATGTTAATGTTTTAAATTCATGATCCCGTAATTAAACTTGAAGCATCCAATTTAAAAAAAATCATGAAGATCAATCCTAAAAAAATAAATATTAAAGGATAAAATTAAAAAACAATTATAATCATACAAAAACATTTTAAAAAATAGCAATTCAAAAAATAAAGATCAAAATCACTACCACTACTATATTATTAATAAGTAATGTCATTATTATTATTATTATTATTATTATTATTATTATTATTATTATTATTATTTCTATTAATATTATTATTATTTTAACACTCATTACCACAATCATCATCATTTCTACTATTATTGTTAATATTACTATTGTTATTATCTCTATCATTATAACATATATTATTAACATTTTTATCATCATCACTATTTTTTCTTTCTCTTCTTCTTATTTTTCCTTTTCTTTCTCATATCATTATCATTATTATCACCACTAATTTAATTATTGTTATTGTTATTATTAATAATATTATTATTTCCAATACTATTTTTAGAATTATTATCACTATTATTATGATCATTGTCGTTATTACTATTATCATTAATAATAATAATAATAATAATAATAATAATAATAATAATAATGTGAAAAAAACTATGAACTTGATTTGAATGATAGAATTGAAAACTATAAAAAAATTCAACAAAAGAACAAAGAAAAACAATAAAAAAAAATCAAAAGAAAAGGGGCCAAATTGAAATCATTATTATCATTGAAAAAACAAAAATCATAAACTTGATTTGAAGGATAAAATTAAAAGTAATAAAAACTTTGACAAAAAAACTAAGGAAAAATAAGAAAATTAAAGTAGAAGGATTAAATTGAAATACCGTAAATATACAAATTAAACTCTAAGATTTGAATTGAAAACAAACAAAACTATAATAAAAGAAAAAATTACTAAAAAACAATAATCAAAATTAAAAGGTATGAATATTAAATAATTATAACAATAATAATCATAATGTATTTACTAGGATATAGGAAAGAATGAAGAAAAAGAAAGAGGGCCATCGACCATATTTAGAGAACACGCGGTGTTTATAATGGAAGAAGAGATGACAATAACTAAACTAAGATGGTCGAAGCCCTTTTTCACCGTTGGAAACCACTGCACACGCCACTTAAAGTGTGTGGTGGTTTCTATTTACGCATGCCAGTGGTTTTTTAAATACAAAATTATTATTTTAATACTTAATTGAATTATTGACACAACCAAAAGATTGATATCTTCTTTCAAGTTTAGGAGTGTCGAAATAGTAAATAACCCGGTAAGACCGGAATCACTAGGAGGTTAAATATAATAATAATAATAAAAAACAATATTAATAATAATTAATAAGTTAAAGATGATTTTGAGATGTAAAATCAATGTGAGGATTAAAAAATAATAAAAATAAATGTCAAGGTTAGAGGATCCACTAATGATATTTCAAACAAGTATGGCATAAATTTTTTTTGTTACTCAACTGGAAACCACACACAAAGAAGGTTCCAATCGG